AAATTCAAACACGGATCCATCACTAATGTAATTCAACCCCTTCTAGAAGTAGAACAAATAAAATTCAGTCTTGATAACTTAATCCTTTTAATTTTTCCTCTTGAGACATGTTACTGACCTCACAGTCATTTCTAGAATGCAGGGAAAGCAGCAGGTCTGTGAATTTTCTCACCAGTGCTTTAAAGTACAGATCTATGCAGAGAAGAGAGATGAGGATCAAGTCGTGGCAAGGTGGGTTCCAACTTCACTGTGTTCCTGATTTCATTATTAAAAGCTTGGAACAAGGAAATCACACAATTGCCTAGCACATTCAGCCTGGGCTGGGAGGTTCTGAAGCAGCAAATCACTCAAGGATGTGACTGATCCACACACAGCAAGTTTTTCTAAGGAGAACCCATGCAGACCAAGTTAGAGAATAACTAAAAATGTTACACTTTCTCTCTGTTGACTAATAATAACATTTGAAAACTGAGATTCTCCATTAAAATTTGCATGGATTCCAAAATCTGAAGTAGAATATGGCAGGATAATAGGCAGCAGTCATTTTAAGCTGAGAATCATTTTGTCTTACACGCTGCAACATATCTATTACTGGAGAAGTGAAATAAAAAGGTTAAATCTGAGCATTGTCTAGTTTTTATTCATTATTATAATGGCTTAAAAGAAAGATTAAAATTTTTTAGAAATTTAGAATTTTTAAGCACCCCAGAGGTAGATTTCCTCCTGAAGGCAAGGCAGCTACAAACAGCAATCTAGCTATTTCCTTATTACTATGAAGAGGCTATCTTCCCTACTAAGTAAGGTAGATTTAAAGAATTTAATGCTAAGCCACTACAATATAAAGGAACATAAACTAATTATGGTATCTACCTCAGCTCTACCTTCCCTTGGAACCTCCCTGAAACTGACAGACAACTCTGATCCATCGCACCAATGTCCTCACCAATTTCCCCTTTGAAACCATTACAGATCATTCCTGATGATTTGAAACACACATTTCCTGAAAGAAAGGAGGCAATTATCTAACTAAAACCTACTTACCTTTTCAGTACATGCATATGTGTACATTACTGCTTATGTGTACTCTGCTTTTCAGTATATTTCCTTTCCCAGAAACAGCAAAGTTTAAGGGAGTGGGTGTTACCTAGAAATACATCGGCACTGCTCTAAAAACCTATAGTATTAAACTACTTCAATGTCTGAAACAACTGCGTAACTCTCACTGTAAGGCCTTTTGTACTCAATTGACTATATTGGCCAGCTATTCATCCTTGTTTCTTTTCAGTGTAACATTTAACATGTTGATGCTACGTATTCATTATTGAATTCATTAACACGTTAGTAAATATACTAACATTGTTTGATAATTAACTTTATTTTTCCCAGGCATAAAGTGATCAAACTAAATCTCAGGACATTTTTCTTGTTGCTTTAATTTCTCAGCTGTTTGCTTAACTATCATTTTCTGTAAATAACTGGGTAAAAGGAGATGCTTCTGTATTTATTGTTTCTTTGGATGGTCTCTTTTATGTATTCTTATTAAAGCACATCTGCTGTTTGAAGGGACTGTGGCCATCCCTCCCACTGAAGGGCTATACTCAAAAAAACAATGGAAAACACAATTCTACAACTGCTGTGCATGGACTTCTCTTTATTTTCCTGAATAGGGTTTGGGCTGCAGGATCCTGCAGGGTAATTTTATGACTTTTTGGACATAGACTCACTGTCCTCCCTAAGCACAACAGACCGTGGGGCACAGCTTCGTTACATCTGTGCTAGCAGACAATGGCTCTGCTCCTGCTTCTAATGTAGTCACTGAGAATTTTGCCATGAACTCATATTACTGTAATTCAGATGTGCTACTGAAATAAACGTGATGTATATTTTCCATGATATGATTACTGGATTCAGTTCTGGTAAATTAAAGCAGCCTTCCCGGGGCTATCAACAAGGTAATGATTAATGTCAGTAAGCAACCCTTCCTGGCATCTGCTGTCTGCCTGTAAAAACACACACAAAAAAAAAAAAAGCAGTCACATCAATTTGCTGACTTCAGCTACATTTAAACTAAGAATACACAACTGCATGGAGCTGAAGATGTGTCTTGTACCCAGTGAGAAACTGGCAGAGGGAACACATACTTGCTAGGAATGTTGGACCAGCCATGAATGAGGCCTTGGCTCAAGGTGAACAGTTTAGCTGTGGCACTGGGCACTTCACCTGAAAAGGACCATCCAGTAGCACTCTGCCAGTGCATCACAAGACAACACAACTAGACCCGAGCCTCACAGCACAGCAGAAACAGGCACAGAATGTAACAAAAGTAAAAATAAGAATTCGTGTGTGTGTGTATATGTGAGCTCTTGAACTGGTTGAATCAGCACAATTAAAACAAAGCAGCCATATGCCTGCCAGGGCTTTGGTGGGCTTTGGTGGACAGCCCAAGTGCCAGCCCTGCAAAGGACAGCATGAGAGCAGCCAGCCTGAGACCCTGCCACAGAGGGAGAATTTCAGGACAGAGAAGCTGCAGGTGAGCATCACACAGGCCCCTGTGTGATGCTGCTCTCCTTCCAGCTAGCTCCCCATACAGCCACACTGACCCTCAACATTTCAACAGGCATGAGTCACCTTCTTGTTTTCCATCCTAGCTGGGCCTTCCTAATCATCCAGTGGGTTGCATCTCTGAAACAAAGATGCATGCCCCAGCTCCTCTCCTAGCTCCTTCGCGCATGGTTTTGGTGCCACCCTAAGAGATTGTAGTAAACAGATCCTTGCACAGCGGGAGTGAAGATGGGCATCTCTCTTTCTCCATTGTTTTGAAGCAGGAAATGGCTGCAGAAAAGCCTCTTCTCAGCTCACCCAGGCTGATGACATGGTGGGATCCCTTCTGGTGAGAACCTAACCCTCACTGGAACAATCAGCATTTTGGACATCCAAAAATTATTTTATTGAGCAGCAGTTGTTAATCAGTAGGAGGTTTTTTCCACAGCCATTCTTTAAAGCCCAAACATTTCCATGTTTCCTGTAATACTTGTGCTTAGATACACATTGACAAATACAAGGAAATTTGTAGGACAGATCTGTAGGACAGATTTTTTGAACCGCCAAAATAATCTCTTTGAATTTTGCAGTCATTTGACAGTGGGAGTCCAGGAGGAGAGCGTTGAAAACAAAAGCTTGTATTTATTCACTGGAGTTTTTACTGCATTTCTCTCCCAGAAAATGATACCTATCATATTCTGCTAAAAAAATACATCATCAAATAAACAGATCATAGACCCTATTAAAGACTGAAAGTTGCCAAGTCCACTTTTTGCTACCCAGCTTGTAAGCCTGACAGATAGGGAAGAGATGGACCTTTGCAGATCAGCCAGAGTTTAACACACTCCGGTATGGAGACCAAAGGCTCTGATAGAGGACATCTTCTGCAGAGCATTCTGTCATTTTGTAACTCACACAACTCTCATAAGCAAAGAGACTTCCATTGTGTCTGACCTCTCCTGCTGTAATACGTCATAAGAAAAAAAGATCCCTAGATCAAAATGTCCAAAACTCTAAATACTTGAAAAGTACTGTGTACCATAATGAAGAGTTATTAGTATTACTCACTAAATACTTAAAGAAGAACGGTTGTGCTGGCTGGGCACAAGGCCATGTGTCACTAATCCATGAAATTTCTCTCCTCCATGCCAGGTTGTCGGGAAGCTGGCAGTGGGTCTTGTTCACAGTACTGTCCATGCAAAGAGGAAGTCCTCTCATTCATTTTTTCCTGTGGTCATCCTGAAAGGCCATGACTTCAACAGAAGCAAAGGCAAATATCCACTCCAACATCCATCAGTTTTGAGCCATGGAAGGAACAAGCACTGCATCTCTAAGTAGATTTTGAGAGCAAGAGATAAGCCTGGCTGTTTTTCAAAGGACTGGCTCTAGCACAGTGCTGGGCCTGGGCGTAGGCAGCCGAGGAGGGCCATGGCCTGCTGAGGATAGCAGCCCCGTGGTCTGCTCTGCTGGTGGCACAGGCCTGCAAACCTCAGTTTGCTGCTTGACCTTGCATGACCAGGTCCTGCTGGTGGGATCCTCCCTCCTTTCACCAGGCATGCACACATGAGCAGGAGCAGCAGGCTGGGCTCTCCTACAGCTCTCTGCCTCAGATTTTCCCTTTCCTTCTCTCCCTTCTCTTAGGGCAAGTCCAGTCTCTTCACCACTCACCTCAGATCAGGCTGGCTGTGTTGCTGAGAACCTTGAGCATGGGTTGCTTTGGTGTTCTACATTCAGGCTGTCCCCTCAGCAGCCCTGCAGATCCAGAAAGGCATGGGGCTTGGACATACCCATAGCGTGTTCTGCAAGCATGCTAAGCAACATATAAATGTCATTTATGTCTACTACATATGCCACTACACATCCCAGAGTGTGAGTGCTGCTCAGAGGAACTTCATTCTCTGCTTGACATCCCTGCATGTCATCAGGAGCCCGATTCAAAGACATGGACTTTGCCAGCCAATGGTGAGAGTTAAAACTTCACTATCCTGTTGTGAATCTGCTCCTCGGCCCATCCCATACCCACCTGCATAAGACAGATAATATTTTTCACCAGATAAAACATTTCTGCAGCTTGGAGGAGTACTGTGAATATAAATCACATTAAAGTCTGTGTGGTACTTAATTTGTTGTGTCTTTGAGGCCATTTTGCTATGATTGAGTTACAGGTATTATAGGGAAATAAGCACTCCTGCTTATCAATCACATTCACAGCATACTCTGACATGGCCTTTGTAAATGAAATTAAAAATAAAACTCTCCAACAAACATGGACTGAGAAGTGAGACTTTATAAAATCATAAGCTTTCCCTCAGAGGAAAGACAGTATTTATGTTAAAGACTGGTTTGGATTCATGTTAAAGACTGGTGCAGATTTTGGATGGGTGAATATGGTGCTGGCCATGATGCGATAAAGCCACGGGAAGACATCTCCTGGAGAAGCAAATAACACTAGCTGGATGCGCATGATGAGTGCAGCTGGGCACCACCAAGACTCCATGGTGACCTCAGCAGAATAAGTAAGACCCAGCATTTTCCACGCAGCAGAGAACAAATTTTTGTCACTTTGCAGCTTTCTTCTGAGGCTCCCAAGAGAGCAATTCTTCTTTTTTCCCAGACTGTTTTCAGTTGCTGCAGAGCTTCCCCCCAGATCCCTGTAACTCCTGCCTTATCGATACAAGAAAGGAAGGAAACATAAAATATTCAGGTTCAACTGTTTTTCTTCTGAACTAAAAATGTGGGAAATCTGTGGTGGTAAGAGAAAGAGGAGAAAACACATCAACACTGCAAGGTGAAACGTCTTTGCAAGCCTCCTGCCTTGATCCCCTTTCACATGCACAAGCACCCATGCACGTAGATGCAACAGGAGCAGCTGTTGCAGATCCCCTGCGTTCCCCCATTATGTCTTCTAGCAGTTCTTATCCTCACAGACCTCTTTGATCAGCAATACAGGGAAGATTAGATCTGAGCTGATACAATAGCTTATTGCAGGACAGGGCATGTTTGTGCCCTGCCTGTCAGTGCAACTTGCCATGTCCGTGGGGCTGCATCTGCTAAGAGCAGCCACGCCGAGCCCCCACGATGCACAAAACTCACGTACTGAATTTTCCTTCTTTGCCTCCAGCCATCCCTGTTCTTGCTAAGTCAATTAATATCTACCATACTAGCAGTACAGGCCCCTTGGGAAAAAGGAAACCAGGGAGTAGGCTGGTTGTTCCTGATTTAGGCTTGCCTTGTGCCAATACAGCATATTTTCTAGTGTTTTTTACAATTCAGTTTAAATGACTCAGCTGAGAGGTTTTGTATAACTTCTGACCACAGCCTAACAGTTCTCACAGGAGGTAGTATTTCCTAGTGTTTGGCATGAGCTTTCCCCCTTTTCATCTTAGCACTTGTGCTCCTTCAGTAATCCTTACCCACTTCTTTCTTTTCTTCATGCTTACAGCCTACAACTTTGTAAGTGGTTACTGGATCCCTCAGCTTCCACCAAGCCCTTCACCACTCAGCATAATATATCACATTCATTATTGTTATGCAAGTACCTAGACAGACAGGCTTTATCAAGCTGTTTTCATCCTTCCCATAAACCAGTTCTTAAAGTCCAAAAGCGGTTTGAGTTACTTTATGTGATTTCCCTCCAGTTTGTCAACATCAATCTACAATGCTCTGATCTTTGAATAACTGGGTTGTCACAGCGCTGACAAGGTGTGACCATTTTCTTTCTGGTACGTAATCAGCTACTCATTTATTGCATTTAACTAATTGCACTTAATTCTACCTCTATTTTTTCAAGTTCCATTACACTATCTATATTACGCTTTTTGTGGTAAGCAGCACCAGACACAATCGGATTCTTTAGTCTGTCAGCAGCAAAAACAATTGCTATAAATATTTAAAACCCAGCCAACTCTGATATATGTAACAATTAAAACCCTTTCAAAAGCATCCTCTCTCTAAATCCATCTCCTGGTAAACTGAATTTAAGTGGTAGCAAAGAAATCAAGCCAAATCATTGCATTTCATTTCTGCTGATGTGAAATATTCCCTTTCTCTGCTCTATGTTCTTGCTCCTCACAGAGTGAGTAGATATTTGATTAGGTACAGATTTAAACACAAAAAGATTTTCCAAGCCTCGATTCCAAGTTCCAAGCAATTATCCATTTGCTGGGTGTAACTCACTGCAGGGTCACCCAACTAGAGAGCAGAACAGAAAAGGCTCTTTACAAAGAATCAAAAAAAAAAGAATATTCAGACTGTTTCACCTCACAAGGAATTCTTGAAAAATGTGCTTTTCCCCAGAGACCTGCAGTTGTTTGTCTCATTCAAGGGCTGAGTATTTTCCTCTCGCTAGCAGACTGGTAAAGAGGTGGAGGGCTCATGCTGCGGAGTGTGAGAAGAGCTGTCCTGGGCTGACACCAGATTTGCGTGGGAGCTCCTGCAGGCTCCACCTGTGTCACCTAATAGCGCTGTCTGCTGCACACCAGACCCTTCCACTTGATCTCAGGCATAGCAGCAGGATGCGCTCACATTGTCTGCTCTCCAGCAGCACTGGTAGCAGGATACCTTTGCAATCAGGGAAAAAAGTCTTAGCCACACTCCTAGGTGTGTTTCATAAGCAGCCTTCCTGAGACTGAATACAGTCATTAAGGCTGGTGGCCTTCTGGTGACCCAGCAACGCTGTCTCTGAGGAGCTCACCTGGGGAAAATAAGAGCTAGTGTTGGTCCCCTAGTTCTCAGATAATCAAGATTAAATGTGACTTTTTTAAACACCAACACCAAGTCTAAAACAAGAAGCTAACTAACTAGCTCTGACTAGATGACACCAAGTGGTCATAGCAAAATTTACATTTATTATTACTGGAACACTTTGCAAAACTTTCACCCTTTGAACTGGAGTTTTGCAGCTTTGCCATTTGAACAATTTTGTATTTTTTTTTATGTGGGAGCCACTAAGTCTGGGTATTCTGAGTCTAGGAAGAGCACTCAATCTGTTAAAAATACAAGGGAAATATTTCAAAATGAATTGCTCCCATACTCAAAAGCTGACTTACTGTATATTAACAAGATACAGATTTTTAAGCACTAGTTATTAATTTAGCTAATTCATAGTAAATGAAGTGATTAATAACTAGGCTATGCAATAGTGCTAATATAGAAGTCAGCAGAAAAGCTCCTATTACTAAAACATCAGAGGTCTCTCTATAAGGCATTGTGTGGACTTCTCAAACCTGCTGAAGTGTAAAATAGCAGCAGATCAGTTACACCATATTTTAGAACAAGTGTTTATCTCTCCCTTCTGATCTTAGTGTTGTAATATATCTCACAAGAGAGATCTGAACATGTCTTTACTGGACAAGATACTTACTGTGTAGGAAAAAAATATGTCAGTGGTGCATTTTCTCATCCGTTAAAATTTTGTGTGTGATGTAGAGTTATATGAGCAAATATCAGAAAGCATTTTTAAAAGTTAGTCATCTCCTGGAATGTGTTCTATTAAGGTATTTTCTTTTCACCCTTAGATGACTCTGTGAAACACTTCCCTAGGCATTTTGCCAGCAACCATGGAACCCCAGCAAAACATTAAAAGTCCAGCCAACCCAACACTGCAAAACTGGCTACACTGAAAATTAATTCAACAGGTTCTTCCACTGTTTGAAGGACTTACATTCTCCCTCACTAAAGAGTCTGTACCTGCACAGGCACACATGAAAAAGGAGAGGGGTGGTGATGTAAAAGCAAATGCTCTCTGTGTCCACAGAGAAGGGGAGGGTTAGAAGTAGGTGTATGAACAAAGTGTGTGGACATATGCACTTTGTACTACTTCTGGCCCTAGCAATGGAATTCTGTTCTCTTCCTACACAGGTATCAGCCTCTCTAAATATTTCTCATTTTTACTCTGGTCCCTGTACAAGGCATGTTCTAGACCAAAAAGATTTAACTTGAACAAGAAGGCAAGAACAGCATGAAACACTCAGTGGAAGGCATCCCAAGCTTCCAGAGAGGGATAAATGGCCTGCTTCTGTCACTGACAGGACAGCGACTCACTGTATCATGAGGATTTACTCCCCTGGTACCTGTGTGAGCCTGCCCCACAAGTGCACAGCTTTTTGACCAGCTGAACCACTTTATAAACTTGTTATATTATAAATACTCTGTGCCACTCCATGCTGGAATGCACCCCCATTCATTCACCTTGCACCTTGGACTGTGTTTTTTGAGCTCTCCAGGTTGCTTTCTGTCATAGAATCATAGAATCGTTAGGGTTGGAAAGGACCTTAAGATCATCTAGTTCCAACCCCACTGCCATGGGCAGGGACACCTCACACTAAACCGTATCACCCAAGGCCTTGTCCAACCTGGTCTTGAACACTGCCAGGGATGGAGCATTCATGTCTGTGTCCTCACTGCTATTACCAGGTCTTCTAAATTTTAAATAATTTTATATGCTGTCTTTAACATTGCTCCAGTATCTGCTCGATTCCTGTTATAAGATCAATACAGAAAAAAAATCAATGGACCAAAACCCAATTCCCTCAGACACTTCCCTCTAGCTCATGAGGCATTGCTGACATGTTCTTTTTGCATCTGGTCTGTTAGCTGTCCTTCTTTATATCATTGGTTTTATCTGAGAGAACTTCAATAAGCAGAAAACAAATGCTCCTGGAGAAACTGCTTTTAAGAGTAGTCCTAAATACATATTACTTGCGCTAATTTATGTTTTGCTGAATGGAACAAATGAAATGGTATTTCATTAATAATGTAAGTGATGGACTTCAGGTGAGCCCATGGACTCATTGAGCACAAGGACAAGAAACCAAGCCCTGCAGGTTACCTGGCTTTGGAAGCAGAGCATATGAGTGACATGTACCCATCGCACAGGCAGGTACCTGCCAAATGCCTGCATCAGGACACTTGCTCTGTAGGACAATCCCCTCTCCCACCACAATTTTCCCTTGTTCTCCTTACTGTCAGACTCTCTCTCAGAGCAGGAAGGTTTGCCCAGCACATTTCCTCAGCACAAGTTCTGCCTCAGGAAATGTCCTACCTCCCTTCACCTTCCCCAGCCCCATGTACCCACCAGGACCCCTTTGCAGCTGAGGAAGGACAGCAGCAGGGAGGTTTCAGGAGCTCATCCCTCTTGCCTCCCTCCTCCTTGACAGAGCCAGCAGGCTGCAACTCTGGCTTGGAATTCCCCTATCAGGGAAGAAAAATCCCACTGATTGTGGGAAACCAAGTCTCCCACAGAGGTGGATGGGTGATAGGGTCCAAGTGCTGCTGCTCTGACATGTCACCTCACAAAATAAGTCACACTTAAGCAGCTCAGTGTGCAGCTCCCAGACCACAAGAGCTCCAGGGCTGAGGGGAACATTTTGGTATCTTAAGGACATGGACATACCTAGTAGCTCTGAGGGCACCCAGGGTTTACAGTGCTTATGCCCAGAAACAATATAAAGGAGATACAATAACACTACTAGTCTAATGTAACTTGTAAATACTGGAGCTAGTCTGCACTGGGGAGCATCTGCTGAGCCTGTAAAATCAGTATGGAGAGTGTGGGCAGATGTCACAGACAGCTGTCACAGCCCTCATGCTTGGGAGCTCCGTGGAACCACCGCTAACCCTGAGCATGTCTGGAAAATCCACCAAAATATTTTGATGACTCTGTATGCACAGGAACAGGGAAGGCAGCTAAGAGTAACTTGACTGGACTAGTAGAAGGAGGGAGGAGAGAATATGGTAAAAGAGAAAAGCCAGGTGTGAGGAAAGGTTGGGGAAAGGCCAAGGTGGTGAACGCAGGTTATTTAAGGCAGAATAGGAATGAGTGAGCCAGAGGAAATGACAGGAGCAATATGGCCAGAGATATTCTCCAGAAGAGTGAACTGAACAGCTTTTCTAACAGACCAGAAGCAGAGGGAGATGTGCTTATGAAATCAGGCAGAAGCCTGAACAAAGTTTAGTCTATCTAGCAGAAAAAGATTATTCTCTGCTTTTGTAAGAAGACCTGATAGCTGTGCTTGAAGACAACCTTCACATCTAAGCAATCAAGCGGGCAGACAAAGTACCAGCGTTATAGCCTTTCTCACCAACTGATGCCCTCAGTCTTGTGCAAGGAAGCATAGATGAGAACTTTAGGAAGAAAGAAGTTCCACATTGGCTGTGTAAAGACCAAAGTTGGAAGAGGGACAAAAGAAGAGAAGGCTGCATAGAGACCTCATAGCAGCCTTCCAGTGTCTGAAGGGGGCCTATAGGGATGCTGGGGAGGGACTCTTCATTAGGGACTGTAGTGACAGAACAAGGGGTAATGGGTTAAAACGGGGGAAGTTTAAATTGGATATAAGGAAGAAATTCTTCCCTGTTAGGGTCGTGAGGCACTGGAATATGTTGCCCAGGGAGGTTGTGAATGCTCCAGCCCTGGCAGCGTTCAAGGCCAGGTTGGACAAAGCCTTGGGTGAGATGGTTTAGTGTGAGGTGTCCCTGCCCACGGCAGGGGTTTGGAACTAGATGATCTTAAGGTCCTTTCCAACCCTAACTATTCTATGATTCTATGAAGTGGGAGAGCCTGACAAAAAAACACACCATATTAAGAGCCTATCCTGTGACTGGCAATAAGTCATTGCTAGAAACTGATTTCTGTGAGCTGTGGTCCATATGAACAACATCCTTAGGCTGGCCCTAGAGGTGGAGCTGGCAAACAGGGAGAAAAAGCTGAGACCTGAGCATGTCTTATAAAGGGCAGTAGAAAATAGAAGGACAATCAAAAGCAGGAAAAGAAGCTGAGGAGCACAGCTTGAAGAAGGCCAGGGAGGGCAGCTTCCCAAGCAGGAGTGATGGCCTGAAAGAAGAGAAAGTTTCAGAGACCTGAGATTGGCTGAGAAAATGAAGCTAAAATCTTCAGTTGAAAAAAAAACCCCAAACATTCCATGGTCAAAAACAATGCAACAGCAACTAAAGTGGGGTCTGGAGGGATGAAACATAAAATAACAGCATTTGTTTTATTCTCAACACCAGGAGGAAAACACCCAGGGATCTCATGGTGTTTTGACAGGAGGAACATGCATTTGCTGCAGCTCCAGAAGGGTCAGAGGCTTGAGAAGTGGTGCTGGCCACCTCACCTCACATCCTGCGATGGAATCCAAAGTAGAAATAGCATGGGTCCTAAAATGAAACCTCTGCTCCTTACAAATGTAATCACCAACAGCTACACAGAACAGGCAAGCACCAAATGCAAAGCACTCTCTCACAGTAATATAAAACACAAGAAAACAACTTACCAAGCAAAAGAAAGCATTTAGCATTTTGGAAAGCCTTCAGTCTGCACGGAGTTTTTCATCTCTTGCAGCACAAAGAACAGTGAACACTTTTTAAGTCACTCACAATTAGTCTGACATGTCCTCAGAGCTGTAGAGGTTTTTTTCTCAAAGTCTGATCTTTTTGCTGTAATATGACTTTTTTTTTCAGTTGTGTATAAACAAAAAAAGGTACACAGAATAAAATTAATCAGAAAGATGTTAAACTAAAATACCTACCAAAGCAATGTGACATTTTGAAAGAGAGAAAAATGTTTATCACCATAAATCAAAAATACCTTGATAGTATCCTTTCCTTTTAGAAGCTGGAAGAACATTGAAATTAGGCCTAGTTCCTACAGAGAGCTCTTCAATTCCTTTCTTGAAGCAAAAGTCATATTCATTCAACACAGGTTTTCCTGATTAAGCTCAGCAGGATCAAATGCAATATTAACTAAAGAATCACAAAAATACTTGCTTAAGCACAGACAGCTGTAGGACACAAGACTGAGCACAACCAAGACACAAACAGTTTCTCTCCCTTGGAAAACGAGAGTGATTGACAAGAGGGAACTTTCTGCAATTTACAATAACAGTTCTCTGCATGGACACGTATTCGTGGCAGTCTTTAAAGCTTTCAGTTTGGTGAAAACCAGTTTCTTTCTTTGGCTTAAGATCTTGATCCAAACTGTTCTGTGGCAGAACACTCTGGCTCTTGTCTGGATTTATGCCTGCTTAATTTGGGTGCAAATTTTACCAGTTGAGTTTTCATTTTGACCCTACATGGTTTATTGCAGAGATTTGGAAGAAGTTTTCATATTTTTTTTTTATCCCCCCCCCCCCGAGATTGTAGCTTCTACTGACAAGCAGATGTTTAGAGTGTCCTTTTACTTACCTGCTTTATGGGATCTGTAGTTTCATCTTCACCTCCAGGTGCCAGCAATGACTACTGTTATTGAGGAAGTTCATTAAAGTACCATGGATCTAGACAGAATATCTGGGGTTGCTTATTTTTGTTGTATGCATAGTCTATGTGCAGGAGTATTTTTAGACCATTAGGTGATACGCTTTATTATTAACAGCTAGGCTTGAAGCCTGAAGATGATAGGCCATTTTCTTCTCTTGTAAACTCAGCTAATGTCACTGCTGTTTCCTTAGCAGTCCCTGAAAATTGGTTCCTTTCTAACTGTCTGGGAAGCATCTTGGGTTTTATTTTAAAAGAACAACCAATAACAAAACTCGAATAATTATAATTCTCCAGTTTTTGGCAAACGAAAAGCACAAAAGGAGTCCCATTTGGAGTGAAGACATTCAAGAGAGAAAAATACTGAAGAAAGTGGACTAGGAAAGAACTAAAAAAGTCAGAATTCCTTTAGCCCAAAACCCACCAAATTTGGACTTAAAAAATCAAGGTCCCCATTTTCAAAACAGGATATGTTTATGCAGCCTTAACGTAGTCACTAGTGAGTCAAGCCATGCTTCACCACTTCGAAAATTTAAGCAGAAACGAGTTTCAATGAGAAAGCCATGCTTGTGTGTTCATTTCTACAAGTAAGTACACTATTTTCATTCTAATAGGTTAATTTTATTCTTGCAATAGCTGTATTGATTTTAATAGAACTACTTCTAAAATATTAATATTAATTTGTGTTGTGGAGAAAAGCATGTATATTTTTGTGAGGTAATTAAGTGGCCTGACTTCCATTAATAAAGTGCCCTAGTTCCATTAACACCGATGAAGCTGTTCATTAACATAACTGAAGTTAAAGAGTTCTTAAATCTTGGCCCATAGTCTTTGAAGAAAACAGAGCCAAAGCTAGGGAGATGTTCAGTGAAAGTTTAAAATGCATGATGAGGCCTTAATTCTCCACTGCTTTGTGACTCCTGTGGGTATATACAATTGGGTACACTCCTTGTAAAATACTACCAAGCAAGAACTTTGCACATGTGTAGAAAATCAAGACCTGACTTTTGCTGAACATATACACTCAGTAGCAAGCAAGACGCCGCAGTTACTAAGACCCTTCGATGCAATGACTTTAAACAGTTAGCAGGCAATTGCTATTTACATTTTACTGATAGGCAACTAAAATAGACAAAGCAAGCTAGGCTAGATGGAAATGTCCAGGAAAATTAACACTTAATTTTTTAAGTGGATTAGTTAAACCACAAACAATCCTATGTAGACATCCATTCAAAACTAAAGCTGCTTTTATTCTATTCAGGGTTATTTTATTCTGAAAGGGAATTAATTTAAATCAAATTGCAGCCGGTTCTGTTGTGAATAAGAGCATGTAAATTGAGGTTCAATACAGTTCACAGGCACTTTTAATTTACACCTTTTGTTACTTTAATTAATTGTCCTGAGGGCCTGAGCTCACACAGGAAGCGTGCCAAGGTGCAAGGAGTTAAGGATCAACAACTCCAGCAGCCCTTCCCTGCTGCTCAAGCATCCTCCTTATCGCCGGACGGCACAGTTCTGGGGGAGTCACAGGAGGTATTCCTGCCTTTCCCTGTCACCTACCATGTAGTGACAGCTCTCAGGGAGAGCATTTCATGCATTGAATGGGAGGACAGGACAAACATGCAGCACCTATTGACTAGGGGCCAGGAGGAAGCACTCGACCCAAGAGAGTGCATTCATTGACCTCTGTAGGCACTGAAAGCAGAGAAGTAGTGTGATACATCACAGAGAACACAGAGCTGTGCGTTCAGTGGTCAGCTTGAAAACCTCATAGTCAGCTTCACTACACCATGATCAGATTTGCGGAGGTGTAACTCAATGATAAACATTGAAAGATGCCACTGAGAAAGATCTATAAATACGCAGTGCATCTTTCTTCCTTCCTACTTATTTTAAAATCATACTCAGCTTGAAATTGTAGTTTCTTACAGAAAGTCTCTGTGCAATTTTCATAATTCCCAAAACTGAAGTAAATTGTAGTGACCTTGTGGAATTATAACATCCACCTCAGGGCAGCACAATTATACCAGTACCTATGCAGTTACTGTAATACCACGGCAACCACCAATGGATTGGTCCCTGCTTTGACCCATTGACAAGAGTCCTACACCCCAGCTAATAGTCAAATGCTCCTTCACGATGTAAAAAAACAAACAAACAAACAAACAAAACAACCAACCAAAAAAAAAACCAAAAAACCAAAAAAGGGTGAAACGCCACACATCCATTTCCACCCGCGTGCAGCCACTGTCTATACAAAGCCACACATTTTAAGGTCTCTCCACCTCTTTTGAGCATTATTTTCTTCCGCTTCATAACATGACTTCTTCAGTTCTCTGTTCTTTCTTCAGTCTGTCAATCCCACGTCGGTATGAATTTAGCCAGAAATCATCTTAACCTTTTAGTTACATCAGAGAGAAGAATCAAGAAGGGGCTTGCTCTCTTTTTACAGATTTTCCTGGCAGTTAGTGCAGAGCTCCTCCAGAAAATAATACAGCATCGTTGTTCGCAGTCCATGGGTGCGGGTCGTCTTTCTCTACTGTTCTTAGAGCTTCCTAATAGGACAAACTGAAAAGTAATAGAACAGTTATCCCTAAGAGGCTGCTTACTGGACGAAGGAAATGAGATGCAAACGTTTATTAAGAGGGAGAGGGTGAAGTATAGAAGAAAACATCTCTAAAACACTGTGTGCCTTCTGTGTCCTGGAAAGAAAGTCGGGTCAACCTTGAGTCCCCTTGAAGAGAACTGCTGGGTAAAACCAGAGCTCCTTCAGAAGGCCACGCTCAATTTTAAAATGTTCTTTAAAACTCTTTAATCTTAAACGTCTCGCAGCTAGGTAAAAGGGGCGACCCTGAAATCCTATGGAAATGGCAGCCTCATTTTCGAGAGCGGGAAGGTGGGAGGAGGGACGACGAGCCGGCTCTGTAGACATAGCCAGAAACGT